AGATACCGTCTCGGGGAATTTACGCGCCCGAGGAGCTGTCTCTTATACACATCTAGATGTGTATAAGAGACAGCGGCAACAGTACGCAGTACTACGCACCCTTTTTTTTTCTTTTTTTTTTTGGTTGATTTCTCGAAAGAGATGAGAATCAGTTACACAGACAGGCTGAGCCATTCCCTGTAGCAAGATGCCCTGCTACCTTTAGCCTACCAACTTACCAAGTCTAGACCTGTCTCTTATACACATCTAGATGTGTATAAGAGACAGCCACAGGGTGGTGGCATTAGAAAAATAAAAACAATTCAAAATAACCTACGAAATAACAAACAAAAATGTTTATTTTGGCTGGTTGCATTTCTTTTTGCTTTTAATTAAAAAATATTATTTGTAAAAAACAAAAATGAAAAATTTATGGGGTGTAACACTCAGATAACCCTTACCCTCCTAAAAAAAAAAAAAAAAAAAAAAATACGATCCCTCTCTCTGTGAACTCCATGAACTCCTACGTTGTGAACTCCATGAACTTTCTGACCGGTTTCCATTCGCAAACCCCGTGAACGGTGAACGAGGGTACGACACTGTGCACAACAAACACCCACGTAAAGCACACATCACAAAGGTCGCCTTGCATGCATCACGATCGCACAAAGACCCCTGGGTCACGCATGCAATTGCTAACACCTATGAATCTCGCACGAAGGCGGCCGTGGGCGGCCATGGCCGCGGCCGCGCGACTTTGGGGCCACGTGGCGGCCAGTCGGGGGAAGGGGCAGGGTTTTCTAAAGTGGATTGGGGTTGCGCAAACCCCGCCCCACCCCCTAACATAATTTATTTATTTTTTTGAAACAATTTTTTGGGGGGGGGACCGGGGGGTGTTTCTTGAAGAAAGTTGAAAAAAAAGAAAAAAAAAGGCGTTATTTTTTTCGATGATTTTTTTTTGTAGATTGATTAATTGATTGATTGATTGATTGATTGATTGATTGATTGATTGATTGATTGATTTATTGATTTATTGATTGATTGATTAATTGGTGGGGTAGTGGTCGGCCCTCCTCCCCCCGCACCACCCCTCACACACACACACACATACGCACACACACACACGAATGTATATTTGGTTGTTCTAGCGTAAGATTCAATCGATTTTGCTCATCCTATGGATCGAAGTAGCGTGAGAGAAGACGCGGG